ATGAATGAACTTACCAGGTTGCCCGATCTCTTCACATATCTTCCTCCAAGCTCGGTCCTTTTTATTCCTGTCTCAGTACAGAAAGCAGCTGGTGTCGTACAGCTCCGGGTTGTTTGCTACGGCATTGATTAGCCTTCCCTCCATTGAAGTATGAAAGGCTGGATCTGCCCCTTTGACCTAGGTCACAGCCACGTCACCAGGCTCCTGATTGGTTGTCGCGGCACGATTTGACGCTGGAGTTCAGATTTTTCCAACTCGAGCGGTGGACGCGAAACGTGCGTATGCACAAAATGCAACACAAAAACTCACGTGTGTGGTTTTATTCGCGAGTCAAACGCGCCAGACGTGCTACACTGATGCGCACTTCATGCGTTTTCGCATTTTCGCGACGAAATCTGCTTCCGAATTTTCGCGGGACCTGCAATCACGTGTCATTGCGCTTTTCCATTCACTTTACATGTAAACCTGACGCTCTATTCGCGTCCATCGCGTTCGGTGTGAACACACCGTTACCCTGCCCTAAATAAATATCTTAGAAATATGGTGTTCAACCAAATAATCTGGATAACATTACCTTGGTGTCCAGTAATACTGTGAGGAATCAATGATTTTTTACCAGGTATGCCCTTCAATGTGTATATTACACAGGTATGTAGAACTGCATTACATTTCTGCAACTTCTCAACACTTAGAAACATCCTGTCTCAGAGGGATGATGAAAAACTAGTTCATTCATTTATTACTTCTAGGGTGGACTACTGTCAATCATTATTATCAGGTTGCCCTAAAGACTTCCTGACTCCCAGTAGATGTCTTTGACTAGGCTGCAGGCTTACTTGTGGTTCCTAGAATGTTTAAAAGTAGAATGGGAAGCAGAGCCTTCAGCTTTCAGGCCAATCTTCTGTGGAACTAGTTCCCAGTTTGGAGTCAGGAGACAGATACCCTCTCTACTTTCAAGATTCGGTTTAAAGCTTTCCTTTGATAAAGCATATGGTTATAGCTGGATCAGGTGACCCTGAATCCTTCTTTAGTTGTGCTGCAATTTTTATTAACTGTGTGTTTATATACCAATCTGCATTTAATCATTAGTTATTATAATTCTTGGACTCTCTTCCATACCGAGTCTTTTGTCACTATGGCTCTGCATCGGGGTCTGGATCTGCTGGAGGTTCCTTTCTTCCAACCTTTAGTGGGTGGACCGAGGTGGACACAGTTTTTAATATCCTCAGGGAAGAGGTTGTCATAGAACGAGTCGTCGTCAAACACCACTTCATAGAACTTAGCCGTGGTTAGCACCACATTTGCTCTGGTAATAATGGCCATTCTTGTATTTACAGATCAGTTTCTGACCCACTGCCAGCTCCTGCATGGCAGCTTTGCTGCGCTGAGGTATGGCTGGTGCTCTGTGTCTTTGGCTAACAGGACTTTGTCTCTTTGCAAGCATCTGCACAGACAGCATGCTAACAAAAAGCTAGCCAAGAACCCAGAATGATGTTAAAGCTGAGTGTATGCTGACTTCAGCCTAGCAGCCAGAGCCTGATCTTGAGCAGGTAACAAAGGCAGTGATAAGCAGTCAAGCCTTTTATCACCTTTTACCTATTCATGTTCCTAAAGCAGAATCACTGCAGTGATTGCTTTGAAGTCTCTTTGGGCTGTTTTTCCAACTTTGCTTTGATTTGTTAGTTTTATGTTCAAACATAAACAACAAAACAAAGGCTGTATGTGTGTTCTCAATATGAGAGGAATTTGTGCTGTTGTGAATGGTAAATGGACGGATTCTTATATAGTGCTTTATTATGGTGGATACACCATAATAAAATGGGAATGGTTGGTGATATTAAAGTCCTGTTTGTGGCACATATGTGAGGGGGCAAACTCCTCAAGATCGGTGTTGACCATGGTGGCCATTTAGAAGTCGGCCATCTTGGATAGAACTTTTGTTTTTTCAATAGGAAGAGGGCCATGTGACACATCAAACTTATTGGTAATGTCACAAGAAAAACAATGGTGTGCTTGATTTCATCCATCCATTCATTCGCTTCCGCTTATCCTTTTCAGGGTTGCGGGGGGCGCTGGAGCCTATCCCAGCTGTCATAGGGCGAGAGGCGGGAGTACACTCTGGACAGGTCGCATTCACTCGCACATTCACACCTAGTGGCAATTTGGATTATCCAATTAACCTATCCTCACAAGTTGCATATCTTTGGACGATGGGAGGAAGCCGGAGTACCCGGAGGGAACCCACGCAAACACGGGTAGAACATGCAAACTCCACACAGAAAGACCCCGGCCTGATGGTGGAATTGAACTCAGGACCTTCTTGCTGTGCGGCAACAGTGCTAACCACGGTACCACCGTGCTGCTTGGTTTCAACGTAACTTTATTCTTTCATGAGTTATTTACAAGTAACTTTGTTCACAGCCATTGACATGTTGAAGAGGTTAACACGTGAGGAGCGGATCAAAATTGTGTTGATATCTGGTAAACGCAGTAATCGGGTCATTGCAGCAAGACAATGCAATACACCCTATGAGACCACCCATCTCCCATGCTACAGTTAGTAAACTGCTTGCTAAGTTTCGTGAAACTGGTTCAGTGT